GCTTTATAATTGGAAATGGGCAAATAAGAACCAACTCAGGTAAGGTCAAAGCGATAGCAGAATTTCCACAACCAACTTCGGTTAAACAGTTGTGAAGATTTCTAGGCTTAGCGTGATTTTACTGACGGTTTGTAGAAAACTTTGTCAATATTAGTTTTCCCTTGACGGAACTACTAAAAAAAAGAATTCGCTTGAAGGAAACAAAGAGGCTCAGAGACTCATAAAACAAGACTTTTCCAAGCAATTCATATATTTTGGTGTACTGGCTAAGGAGCGAGATGGAGTAGAACTCCAAAGCGCAACGTAACTATTCAGTTTCCGGATTGCAAACTTTTGTCCTGCCGTTAACAAAAGGAATTAAAAAATTCCGCGCGTATATTGAGGGCCAGGATTTCTTGGTTATCACGGACCACGCAGCTCTTCAATGCGAACGAAGGATTTATCAGGAAGGCTCTATGGTCAATGAAGTTGAGAACATTTACATTTACTATAAAACATTGAAGCGGTTCTCAGAACATCATTTCAGACACTCTATCTAGACAGAACGACCCAGCCTTTGATGCATTTTGTCAAAATTGACCCATAGTTGATTTAGATTCTCCACATTTCAAGTCAACGGAACAATTAATATAGAAAATAACTAACCGTCAGTCAAAAGAACTACTTTTGTATCGGACGATATAAAGCAAGAAAATCCTTGGAAACTTTTGATACCTTCATGATGCTCATGATGCACCTACTTCATCTCATTGTGGTATGAGTAAAACTGTGAGAAACTAAAAAGATATTTGTTTTGTCCTTGTATGGTTACGCAAATACGGAACTATGTATCTAAATTGTGTCATTTGTCGTACCACGAAAAGTCCAAACACGGTTTTCAAACCGCCAATGGGTAAACCGTTAACCTCAGACAGGCCATTTCAAAAATTATACATTGACCTCTTAGGTCCCTCGCACGAAAAATGGTCACATTGCTCATTTTCGTTGATCATAACACTCGTTTTCACTTTTTGTGTCCACTATAAGGCTAATAAAATCTGTGATTACTTGCAGGGAGCTATATTCTAAACATTTGGCATTCCATAAGTAATACTTTCGGATAATGGCAGTCAGTTCAAGTCAAGCTATTCCCAAGCTTTTCTTACAACTTTTGGTATACAGCAAAACCTTATAGCCATATATTCTCCGCAGGCTAAAGCGTGTGAAAGACTTAATAGATCTGTATTAGCCGCTGTAAGAGCTTATCTTATCTTATATAAGCTCTGTGTGAAAGAAGCACGTAGAAACGTAAGAAACGTAGCTCATGCTACTATGAATTAGAGGATGAGAGAGGAAAGAAATTAGGAGTATTCCATTTAAAGGATATACAAAGCAGAAAACAAGTTCTTCAGATAAGGCTTCCTTGAAATAGTCGCGTTACCCTTATCTGTAGTGACCAACTTAGGCTTTACACTGCCAAAAACTGCCACTGTCGAACTCGCACTAAATTATAGCAGCTTTTCTGTAACTAAAACAGTGAGAGAAATGAGAGTATATACGTATATATATACATATATACATATAATGACATGAATGCAGTCATTCATTAACAAAAAAAATTCAACTCAATAATGTTTACTTAGATCTTTTCGATCAGGAAATTCATTTAGGTCATAACATAAATAACCTTATTTTAATGAACTTAATTAGTCCACAGGCCATATAAGTTTATGTTAAGTTTATACTAAAATTTTAACATATATTTTACAAAGATGGCCAAAACCTAAGTTTCACAAGTGAAATCAAACACAGAATTATCACAAAGATCTTTCAATTTATTCGAAAACATACAAATACCCAGAAATTCACAAAGACGAAATTAACAGGCAATTAGCAGACATGTTAGATCAAGGTATTATAAGACACTTGTAAAGCCCATGCAATAGTCCTTTCTGGGTCGTTGGACCAGTCGAATAAGCAAAAGTGGTGGCTCGTCGTAGACTACCTTAAACTCAATAAAGAAACCCTCGAGGATCGGACCCCGATCCACAATATAGATGAGATTTTCGATAAACTTTTTAACTTAAGACCTTGCAATAGGTTTCTAGCAGATATAAATGGACAGTAAAGATGCACACTAAACAGCGTTTTCAACATTACAAGGTCCTTCGTATGCCTTTTGACCACGAAACGCAGGTTCTACATATCATTTATGAATGCCTTATCCCCTATAAAGGACAATTTTGTATTGTTTTGTAAGGATGACATCTTTATATATTCTTAGAATAGAAGAACACGTCAATCATCTGAGCTGTATCTTGAGCTGCCTATCTAAGGCAAATTTAAAACTCCAATCAGACAAATGCAAGTTTGCCAGAGAGGAGATTGAATTTCTCGAACATGCCATTAATTCAGAAGCTCTTAAGCCAAGTCAGAATAAAATTGGGGCAATTTGAAAGATAAATTTACCGACAAACCATAAACAAATTAAAAGTTTTCTAGGCAGCACAGGCTATTTGGAGCGCTACATTAAATACTACTAAAATACTTAAAGAAAAATTTTAAAATAAACACACATGATCAAGACTACATAGAAGCTTTTCGAAAACTGAAAGTCCTAACAACGAGCGATCCGATAGTCGTGTACCCAGACAAACAATTAACGATAGTTACAGACGCAAGTAACTTTGCATAAGGCGCCGATATTATAGTAAAACCGACCATAGGCCCCTAGTTTGGCTTAATAATCTAAAGGATTTTTGGAAAGTGCAATTAAACGAATTTGATTTTGAAATAACATTCATAAAAATGTCCAAACAAATGCTGCTCCAGGCAGCAGTCAAGGTGCGACATAACCTCCAGCCAACAAGTTACGCAACCGCAGGCCGGATGTGAACTGGCCAACATCATCAGAATTATAGTATAATATAGGTATATTATAGTTGGACATCATCAATAAGGACCGCCACATCTGGCCAACGAGGCCCGCCTTAGCGATTCTCACCATAAACATCGCTGCCAGCAGCCTTTTAAGGTCTTATCTTACTCTAATAAAACTTTGTTCGCTGAATTACATGCCACATCAGCTGGCAAATCCAGCGTAGCGGATATCAGGATAATAATGATGTTTATCCATTAAGGTGAAATACCAGATCAGATCCGAGGTACACATCCTAGACGAGGAGCGACTACAAGAAATACTTACAGAGAGAATTTGGGTAGGATCTTAACACAACCTCCAGCGACGTCCAGTATGGCTCTTAGTACTCAATCAGAGTTGATGAACTTTATACAGTTTACTGTATAACAACAGGGTCAACTTATGGATAATCTTACCTCTTACCTAGGGAAGACTATAGATTCATCTATTAAAAGTCAATTGGACAACTTGCAATTACCTCAACCCACACATACAAATTCAAAACCTGGCAATATCCACCAAATATGGAGCAAATTAGGAACGATTTCGATCAAAACCGTTATTCTCAGAATTCAGACAATAATGTAGAACAAAGAGGCGTAAACCGGAGCAATGCAAGCTCATATGTTAGTCCGGAAAAAGTATAAGGAATTATTTAAAAATGGGAATTAAAGTTCGATGGTAGCAAAACAAGCATCAGGATAGATGAATTCATTTACAGCATTTGCTCACTTACCAAACAAAATCTAGGTAATGATAATGGTCTTCTATGTGGTATTGGATTGGTATTGGAAGTTTCATCGAAACAATCCGAATTACCATTGGGACACATTTGTGGTGAATTTAGGAAGAGATTCGAAGATATAGAGACAGATTATGATTTTTGGGAGGGAATCCGAAAACGGAAGCAAGGAGAAAATGAAGAATTTAAAGATTTCCAAGAAAACATGGAACAGTTGATTGCACGGATAGACTCCATAATAAAATAAAATAAAATCTTTAAGTCAGCCTGACATTCACTATTCCTTAATACCCTTACACAAAGAATTCAAAATAACAATAATAAGCATAGATAGTATCGGGACTCATTTAAAACTCAGACGCTCTACTAGAAGATTAAGAGATTTTTGGAAGAAGGTTCGCCGTGACCGACAGAAACTTATATCCGCTATAGTACTTAGTTCTATCCAAAAACTATCTATACGGAAATCACTATAGATGTTCAGATTTACAAGGCTTTTTTAGATTCTGGAGCAACTATAAGTTGTGTAGGCGGGTTAGCTGCTCAAGACTTTCTCAAACACAGCAACGTAAAAAAATGTTCTGGTGAAATTCGCGCTGCGAACGGAACAAAACGCAAAGTAGTGTCAAAACGTACTACTTCCTTTAAGTAGTAAGTTAAAAGATAGACAATCTTGAATTATTTATAATACTTGAACTTAAGCAAGATGTATATTTAGGTCTTGATTTTTGTCAAAAGTTTGGATTACTAAATAAAATAACAAGCAATCCGACCATTACTGAGTTAGACATCGGTACATTGGATGATAATGAAGAGTCTCCAAAATATCATAAGCTAAATGAAGGAGAAAGACTTCGATTTGAAAGGTTTTGGTCGTATTACAATGTCCACATATAGCCTTGATATAGGAAATGCGAGTCCTGTTAAACAGCGCCATTGGCCAGTTTAACCTGCCATTGAAAAGCTGTTGTTCGCGGAAGTAGATAATATGCTGGCCTTTGATTTATAGACAATATTTTTCAAGTAATAAAAATTTAAGAATTATAAAGTCAGGTATACATATGTTTAGAGGACATAAATGATAAAGAAAAACTCTTGAAGATTATCAAAAACGAACACATAAAGAATAACACATAATCACAGAGGCATAAACGAAATTTGAACATCTACAAGTATAAGGCACTGGCGGTAAGAAAATCTATAAAGAAATATATGTGTTTCCAATAATAAAAAATAATTTCCAATAAAAAAAATAATAAAAGGGAAAGGAAGAATTGTGAGCGAAAATAATGCCAAAAAGAACTTTGCCAATTTACTTTGCAAATCACGTTTAAATCTCTCTCCTTTTTCTATCTCTAGATATACACATGCCCTACGGAACTAAAGGAAAACGGATTTAATACGTAAAGAAGTAAGGAGTTTACGCTTTACAAGCTTGTTAAATGTGAGTTTGAGAGACTACTCTTTAACAACCAGGAATCAGAACATAGAGATCCGAAAGATAAGTGCGCTATACGCCCTAAGAGAGGTGCTAAGTAATATAAGCTGAGATGATAAATAGTAAATATAATATTAAGAGACAAAATTGAGAATGCAGTACAAGCTCTTAAGAGAAGAAAAACAAAAAAAAATATTAATAAAAAATTTAAAGAGTCGAGTACGCACTATAAAAGTGATACAAGCAAAAAGAAAATATTAAGCCAAATCATAAATAATATGCTTAATTTTCTTTTTATATCCGAACTCCATCCAGGGTCCATCGGAAATGGCCGACAACGTTATAAAACCTTTCCTATCCGATGTGATTAACAAGGCAACCCTCAGGAATGAGTGGGAGATATATCGTTTAAGATGTACCTTGGGACCGAGGGGATCGATACAGCAAAACAAAAAAAAAGTAAGCTATTGCTCTGCCGTGAGGCTCTAATCGAACCCAGCGAATGTAGAAGATATCTACGGGATTCCCATATATCATTTGAATCAATATTTCTCTCCAAAACAAAACTCAACGTTTGAGAGGCATTTATTTAGAGGTCTGATAGTTTACCACAATTTTTTCTACGGCTACGACAGCGTTTGGATCCTCGAAAACAGATATCGCGGACATATGTCTAAAAGGTAAAACAAGGTGGAATCCTATAGTCGAGTTCCCCGACTATCAGATACCCGTTAATCAGCTAGTGGAAGTGCTAACGAGAAATTTCCTAATTTTCTGGAATAAATGAAGAAATGGCTAAAAATAAAAAATAAAATTAAAAAAAAAATGACAGGCGTGGCAACATTTGGACAAACAAACTTTCTCTGAGTCTACGTCTCTAGAATCTGCATGCTTAATCTCAACATTCTAGGTTTTATAGTTTCTGATATCTCGACGTTCATACGGACGGACTGGCGGACATGGCCAGATCGACTCGACCATTGATCCTAATCAAGAATATATATACTTTATATGGTCGGAAACGCTTCCTTTTGCCTGTTACATACCTTTCAAAAAATCTAGTATACCCTTTTACTCTTTGAGTAACCGGTATAATTATAGATGCGTGGGCACCTCTAGAACTTAAGAAAATACTCCTGGGAAAGTGATAGAAGCGTGTCAGGTTAAGGAGCAGATCAACAAGGAATCGAAAGCAATGACAACAAGACAAATTGCTGAATCCATCGATAAAATATCACATCGAGGTTTTAAACAGGGTGGAGAGTGCTCGAGGTGCGGTCGATCAGGCCACGCACACAATGATTCATTATGTCCGGCAAGGAAAGTAACTTGCAATAAATGATCGAAGCCTAGTCACTTCGTCAAGAAAAGACGTACACAGCTTAAATTCTTTAAACCCCAAAAAAAATAAACTTAAAAGGCCATGCATCTACGTACGTTCCGTAGAAGAGGAAACCACCTGCTCCAAGCAAAAGAAGTAGGATGCACACTGCTTTAAGTTACTAAACGATGACGAAGAAGAGTGGGAGTGATAAAATGTCAAGTGGGAGGCTGTAAGATCCCTCTGATCATCGACTCGGGCTCCAACTGTAATATTATTAGCCAAACAGATTGGTCAGAACTAATGAAAAGAAAAGCAACAGTCTTTAAAGTGAGATTCCATTTGACAAAAATTCCGAGGTTATGATTCTAGTAAATTACTGTAAGTAATTTGTGTCTTTGAGGCGCCAGTAATAGCAGAGCCGGGAGCGGAAAAGATTGACTCGTTCTACGTAATTGAAAACGGGAAACAATCTCTTTTGGGCCGAGACACGGTTAGTGAAATAAACGTCCTTCGGCTGGGGAAGTATATCAACCGGGTAGAAAAGCATCGAAGTAAAGCTCTTCATCGACTATAACGTAAAACCGATATAGCAACCAGTGAGACGAGTCACAGTAGATCTTGAAGACAAGTTTTTTGACAAACTCAAGGAAGGCCTGACTCATGATATAATTGAGCCACTCACAGAGCCTAGCGCGTGGCTATTTCCAATCGTCCTTACGTTTAACTACCCGTTGCCAACGTTCGATTCTTTCAAGTTCTTTGCGCGCCTAGGCCTAAAAGACGCATATCACCAACTAGCTCTTGAAAAATCCAGCAGGGAAATAATTACATTCATAACTCCAAGGGGACGTTCACGCTATAAGCGGTTAATGTTTGAAAAAACCTTCCAACGCCTCCGAGTAAATGCTATCTACAATCTAAATTCCTAAGGCTATGAACTTCATTGACGTCTTCATTTTTGGCTGCGCTGTAAAAGAAGTGTACAACATTTTCCAGGAAAACAATTTTCTGTTAAATAAAGAGAAGTTCTTCAGGGACCCAAATAACAGACGATATGCGGTGTTTCCTCGGTTTTTTAACCTATATCGGGAAGTTCATCCAAAACTTGGCAAATCACTGGGAAACCTCGAGGAAGGTTCATAAAACCGAGAACTAGTTCATCTGGGGCGAAGTCGAGACAAACGCCTTCGTTAATCTAAATAACCGACTAGTCAAAATTCCAAAATGTTCTTATTTTAATCCAAAACATCAGGCTCGTGTGACTGCGGATGCAAGCCCGGTGGCTCTCGGGGCGGTTCTAGTACAATTTAAAGTAGACAACGAACCGCTTACAATAAACTTCGCTAGCAAGGGTCTATCCGGTATTCCCAAACCTAAAAAGAGAGCCTTTCCTTGGTTTGGGCTGTGGAGAAATTTTACTATTACAAGCCATTGGAGGCTATTTTTAAGCCAGCTTCTAAGTCCCCAGCTCGCATTGAAAGATGGTTTATAAGGCGTATAAGTTCACAGTGATTTACAAATCCGGAAAAGACTTTGTGAACTACCCACGGTAGAACCAACCTCCTGGTTTCCTGGGGAACCAACCTCCCCGGCCGCTATTAAGGGAGGGATGTGGCGACCGGCACTGGCGGCAACACGAGAGCACGAACTCAGCATCAACGAGAGAGCCGATACTAGGAACGGAAGCTACTCACTCTGGTGCGGACAGTCGAGCGGGCCGGTGGCGCATGCCCATTACTACTGTGAACTCTAAAATATGACCAATAAAGAGTGTTATTAAACTTATTACCTTATAAAGTCAGCGTGATAATTATTAAAATGAAGCAAGTCATTAGAAATGCTATTATACAAAAAATATAATAAAAAGGTCTTTAAAATTATATTAACAATTATAAAATTTGTAATTTAGCCAAATATGTTAGGCAACCTATAAAATATAATTTAAATATTACAGAAGCGAAAGAAAAAATAAACGATAGAATGCACATAGACATCTGGTATCCTATAAAAATTATTCCTAAATAAGCCACCGCTCAACATACATTAAATGTATGTATTAAGGACTGATCCTGGAATTCTTTGCTTAACGTAATAAAATTAAGAATTCTATACATAGACAAGCCGAAAAAGATTGTAACAACTCCATTTAACAATTAAGAACTCCATATAAGAAAACTGGACACTCAAACGTGGAAAGATTACATATGCAATTGTATAATGATCAAAAAATATTGACACCACCAAAAAAAATGTTTACAAAGCAATTATTTGTTATAATAACACTTTATTTAATAACATACTTTGTCACGAATACATCGCCAAAATATCGGAAAAGCTACTTAGAAATAAACAAACATAAGCCAAAATTGGCGAATATATTTATCAAGAATAATCAAGTAGAAAAATCAAACCCAAAATATATAGAAATAAGTAAATACAAGCAATATGGTAACTACATGATAAATAATAAAGACCATACAGAGGTGGTCAAAAGTATTTACACAACGTGCTTTTTTTTTCAATTGTCAACTTTGATCGCTTATTGCTGCTGCTTTTGTACTCAGAAACGAACATAACGGTATTTGTCGTGCTTCTACATCTATACAGAAGCAAACGAAAGAAGAAATGTACAAAATAACTGTTTATGGGCTAAAAATAGAAGCATTGAACTGATGCTTGTCTGTTGTCAGAAGTATTTACACACAATTTTTACACGTCAAAATATTTACCCAGTTCAAATTGAAGATTAGTCTTTGATTTGCATTGAGTAAGTGAAGTTCTAGTTGATGTTGATCGCTTAATTGGAACTTAAACTAACTGTTAACAGTTAAATTAATAGATTAAACTAAGCATTTAATTTGTAAAATGGCAAAAACAAAGGAGCTATCAGTTGAGCATCGAGCCGAGATTGTCACTAAATTTAAGGCTGGTACTTCTGCATCCAAATTAGCTAAGTTGTACAAAATGTCACGAAAAACTGTGTACAATTTAGTTAAAAAACAGTGGAAAAATTGTAAAATAAAAAGAGAACTGCCCGAAAAGTTGCATTTCGGAGAGAACTCCGAAGCTTGCATTCCCAAGAGACTGCAGACACATTATAGTTGTACTAAGTAATCCCACCATAAGTACCGTTAAAATTGTTGCAGCTTCGAAAAATGTAATTGGAAAACATATTAGCGATAGTACACTGCGTCGCAGAATGAAGGAAGTTGACATCAACACCTATGTTGTAGTGCAGTAGTTGATATTACCCCAAGAAACAAGGAAAAACGTCTCGCATTTGCCTTGGAGTATAAAGAGAAGCCTCTCGAGTTCTGGTTTGATGTTTTATGGACTGATGAAGTTGCGTTTCAGTTTCAGGGATCAGTTGTTGATATTACCCCAAGAAACAAGGAAAAACGTCTCGCATTTGCCTTGGAGTATAAAGAGAAGCCTCTCGAGTTCTGGTTTGATGTTTTATGGACTGATGAAGTTGCGTTTCAGTTTCAGGGATCATTTAGCAATTTATGCATCTCCCAAAACAACTAAAGGGTAATGCCGTCCAGCCAATCAATCGGTTTGGTGGTGGCACGGTGATGTTCTGGGGTTGTTTAAGTTACTATGGATTTGGAGACATGGCACCGATTGAGGGTACACTAAATCAAACAGGATACCTCCATATCTTAAATGAGCGTTTTTGTTAAACACTCAAAGAAGTCGATAGAGGAGTTTTATTGAGCAATACAACGTTCATTTTAAAGAACACAACGAATCCGTACCTTCACATAACTATATATAATGATATATTTAATCTCCGTATGAAAAACTAAAACCGATATTTTGAAAAGCTTTACTCTTCAAAAGCCTCATAGAAAGCTTAAATTATCGGTAAGGAAAT